AAAGTTTCTCTATATGGAAGTATTACAGCTAATAAATGAGCACCAAAAAAAAAACCCAAGCCCACTTCAGTCAAGTCGATTCCGACTCATAGTGACCTGATAGGTTTTTTGAGGCTATAAATCTCTACAGAAGCAGACGGCCACATCTTTCTCCCGTGGAGCCACTGGTGTTTCAAACCGCTGATCTTTCGGTTAGCAGTCGATTGCTTTAACCACTGCACCACCAGGGCTCCTTATAAATAAGCAAGGAATGATGAAATTAAACTATCACTATTTTACATCCCTTTGATGAATTAATGAAGTGAGCATCAGCAGCTGTTAACAGAAAGAAACAACCAGGTATCATGTGCCACCTGATGGAAGAACATATGATACCATGGAGTTGTCTTTTGTGCCAAAGGGAGGGAACGGGGGATCAAAACTCAATCTGATCAAGACTTTGGTTTCAACTACCAATTTACAGGAGAAAACAAAGGATGGAAGAATGCGTTAAACTACTGGGGCGCAACTGGTAAAACCCAGGCTGGGAAACTATAGTATAAAACCAAGCTCTTTAACCAATAAACTATAAGGAGTGGGGAGGGGAAGATGAAAGGAGAACTCAGAGATTAAGAGACTTACCATCAATCAAATGCAATGGACGGACCGTTTTTATTTGAATCCTACCTCATCTAGATACTGTTTCCCAAGATGTGATGTAACACAAGTGGAGAAAACCTCTTATGAAATATCCTTGCCAAGCTGAAATGGAATCTAATCAAGTCTTCAAAGTTAGCTCCCATTTACAAGAAATAAGGAGGATAAAGGAAAAAGTTAACTGACGTCACAGGGAAGCAAACTGACTAATCTAGAACTTGGGACACTGTACAATAAAGTGGTCCAGTTTTTTCCATGAGTCAATGGCGTGAGAAAATAAGACGGAGGGAACTGCTCTAGAGTACAAGAGCTTACGGGCATAACAATCAAATGTAAAACACAGAACTTATTTAGATCCTGACTGGAAGAAACCAAATATAAAAATACATTTATGAGACAATTAGAAAAATTTGAAAATTTGACAGGTAGTAGATGTGATAATGACTTCATGGTTATCTAAGAAAATGTCTCCATTTTTTACAGATGCATGCTGAATTATGCAGAAATGAAATGACATGACTGGATTTGCTTTAAAATTATTTAGGAAGAAAAAGGGATATAGGATGTAAGTATGGCACAACTTTGATAAACGCTGAACCTATTTATTCTCTGGACTTTCAAATACATGTGCATGCACTTAATTATTAATATATATATGGTTATTGTTAAATTATCTATGTATCTATCACTAGTCTCCTAACCCAACTTATGAAGTTTAGTTTAGTTTTGAAAGATACTATGACCCTACAAAGCAGAACAAGAAAAGGTCTGTACTTTTGCTATTTGATCTCTGTAAAATTATCAGTTTCAACCAGTACGCTTTTAAAATTCCATGAAGAGGTAAGTGCCTTAACAAGAAGCAATCACCACTAAGCAATGAATCACACCAAAGCTACTGTGAAATTCAGTTTACAGTTCTTTCACATAAAAAAGCAGTCTGTTTTTTCCCTCCGTTTAGTAAATATGGCTCTAAAGAATATGTGACATCACTATCAGTTGCTTGGTATTTATTTTATTGACATACTTTAAGTAAGGTAGAAACCTCTTGTTTACCCAGTGGTATTCATTGCTTTTTGTATCCTCTTCCCTTACAGCTTTCAATAAGGCAATCTCCCACAGACCACGCTCATAGGACGGCTGAGTTAACTTACAGTATGGTAGCTGGGCATCGCTAACCTCTTAAATTCTCAGTCTAGTAGGAGCTCCTGGATTCATTTTTAATTCTGGTAATTAACAAACAAACATGCCAAAACAAAAAAAAAAAAGAAAGAAAGAAATCTCCCAGTGTACTCTTCTAGACATCACGTGAAGAAAAGAAAACCTATTCTTACTGTTTAACATTTACAAAATGTCCACAGCACTCAGGAAAGTAAACAAAACCTTAGACAGTCACCTTCCATTCCCCACAGTTTAACTATTTAAAAGACAATAAAAGAGAGTAAGAAAGAGTGCTCGCAAGGAGGGAAGAAACTCCATGCTGGAGTGCTAGTGAGTGCAAATATATTCACCAATTAATTAAGTATTTTTTCAGCACATCAGTAAGCTATCCTTGGCCAGACTAAACTGAGTAGCAAAGGGCGAGGCTGCCTTACTCAGCTTGAGTTTGGGGGAAGCCACGTCATCCTCATCAGGCAGCGGGCCCAGCTCTTTCCTTTTATCCTTGAGCAACTTCTCCAGGATGTGTGCATCGTTGTATACCTATGTTCCATAAATAGATTTAAAGTTATTTTCTAGAAGAACTTTTATTGAAATATAGTAGACATTCATAAAGAAGTTTTAAAACACAGTTTAGGACAACTTGGAGCTAAAAAAAAAAAAAAAAAGGCTTAGGCTCACTACAGAGCAATAAAATCACAATCTCTGTGGGGTGGGCCTGGGTCTCCATCTGTTTGTTTTCTTAAGCTTCCCAGGTGATTCGAATGTGCAGATATGCATTGTAAAGTTTGTAGTAGATCAAGCACAGTGGTTAAAGTGCTGGGCTAACTGTAACGTCGGTGGTTCGAACCTACCGGTCACTCTGTGGGAGAAAGATGTGAAGATTTACAGCCTTGGAAACCCTTTGGGGCAGTTCTACCCTGCCCTACAGGGTTGCTATGAGTCGGAACTGACTCTCTCGCAGTGGGTTTGGTTTTGGTTGGTAGTAGATCATTGGGAGTTTTAATGGAAGTCCTACCACACATTTACACGTGCTGTTTTCTTCAAAAACTTCTCTTTTCCACTGGAGCCTCAAGGTAGCAGACTTAGTGCAATGGAAATCAGACATGAAAAAACATATGATAGTTGGAGAGCAGTATCTCCAATATTGTTAAATCCCAAATCTGTGTTCAGAAAGAGTGAGCTCATAGTCTGGAATCTAATCTGTAGAAAAGGCAACAATTCCTGCTTAATGATCTCTCTCTGAAGACTGAGCCAAGGGAGATAACATGTAGCCAAGAAGAAGGTTACCCACCTGATGACCTTGCCTCCACAGCTGCCTCACCCCACCCCCAGCAGAGGCTACATCTCCCCGACTGCCCACCAGAGCAGAGGGGCTGAGAGAATAAGTGGCCTCTCTTCTTTGGCCACCTCTCTTAAGAGTGGTTGTTTCCTCTAGCAGTGATAGACAGGTGGCACATTAGCCAGTGATACGGAGGGCAGTGTAAAACTCCTAAGACAGACAGAACCATTTCTTTGATCCACAAACACCCTCAGTGCCTACTTTATTTATATTCAATTGTAATAGCAAAAGCAAGCAAGTAATTTGAAAATGTTATTTTATTTCTGAAGATTTAAAGTGTATAAAGGATATCATATGGAAAGAAGGAAGTACGTCTTATTATACCAATAAAGAATTGAAAATCAAGATGCTTCATACCAAAATCAATTATTTAGAAGTACACTTATGGGAATACCATATCAGCTCTTATTAATCATACAATTTCACGGACTGTCCTGGAAGTATGGCCATGGAGGACAGTCATAATGATGATGATGAAAGATTGTGCTTAATTGATACTGTGCTAAATACTCTCTATTACCTCATTTAAATCCTACAACCTTGAAGCAAGTACTATTATTATCCTTAATTTATAGATGAAGAAATTGAGGCTTAGAAAGGATAAGTTACTGACACAGGGATTGGCAGAGCAGACTCATATCTAGGATGTCGGAGTACTGAATATGAGCTTTTAACCTCTATAGTGTACTGCCTCCCATTTTAAACAACTAAGAAATGACAAAGTATTATCCTAGTTACTGAGAAGAATACCCTAACTTAAGCCTCTAGAGCTGGTCTCTTGCCATGCATTATTCCACCAGTATCCAGAAGAAGATACACCTACTCCACATCTGGAGGCCTCCTTGTCTTACCTGGGAGCCCTCCTCGTTGTAGTGCCTGGCATTCCGGAACATCAACTTCATGTCTTCGATCATTCCCTCTTCCCCTGCATATTTGTCATTGCGAATGTTATGCTCAATTATTTTCAAGTCCATTGGCTCCAAGATAATTTTATAATAATCAGGATAATCCTTTTTGGATGGTTTAACCATAAATAAATCACAAAGTCTTCTGCCTGAACCTGGTTCTCGAGCTTCAAGAACAACATTGAATAAGATTTTCATTCGCTGCTTTCTTATGTTCTTTTTACTGTTGAGGGAGGAGGCAGAGAAGAGGAAAAATGAGATTATGTTCATATATAAGGATGAGCATGAAATGAAACACATTAATCTTGTGGGCAGGTGCTTCATAATGATCATGATTCATTGATTACATACACCACATACACCGTAAACATGCTGGAAGCTATAAGCAAATGTTAGGAAAATTTCCAAAATGGTTAAAACGTAGAGAACCTGGCAGGAGCAGCCAATGAACAGCAGACAAACCTGTTTATAACAGCTCATGAAATCAAATGTTTAAAAAAAGACCTGTCTGACGCCCAAAGAAAATGAAATTCTATTATCAATTAAAACCCATTTTTTGTTTTTAAGAAGTAATAGAACAAAAAGTGCAGCAAAACTAGTGATTCCCTATCACTTCTAACGGCCTTTACTTTCAAGCCTAACAAATGAACAACCTAACATACAGAAGTGTTCCATTTCTTAAGACAACCTCTACTGAACACCTGCATATATATTCTGGCTGTCAGAAAACAAGGAAGACTGTCTGCCAGACTAGTGTCTCTGCCGTGGCTTCAAGTCTCTCTTGCATTTACTCTGACAGCATCAATCTCCCTCTTCCTTCCTCCATCAGCATTATTCCATCATCCCTCTAAGCAAACCTAGCTTAAAGAATAAATGGTCTGTGGTTCATCTAGGCTCTCTAAATTTTCATCCTTGAGTGTGAATCCCTGTCTTGTCCTCCGAATCCCTCCAGTGAGATGTGACATGAGAAAGAGATGTGAGTGATACGGAACAAAGTACAAGGGACCATAGATTAGAACCAGAGCCAAAGGGGGCCCAAGAGAGCAGATGGTGAGTCTAGTCTCCTACTAGCTGAAGAAACTGGCTCAGGGAGGCTGAATGACTTGCCCAAGGAGAGCTGCCAGTGAATTATTAGAAGATATGATCTAATCTGGTCTCTGGTCCGCTGCTCTTACATCTTCAGAACTGATAAAGAAACTCTAGCCAGACTTGAACCAGCAGTCTCCAAGTGAACAGTTAGGTAGGTATTAAAAAAGAAATGGCTTATGACTTAATTTCTATTCAACAAACATTTACTAAGATCCTAAGATCCTATAATGTAGTACTTAGAGATAAGTATTTTTCATCTGTTTCCTATCCTATAAGTGGAACAAAGTTCATTCCTGAAGCAAACTTTGTGGCTGATGAGACCAGAAGAACTGGATGGTGCCCACTACTGAACATTTTGATCAAAGATTCTATAGGAGAACCCTGATCAAAAGCAGAAAAATGCAGAACAGAATTTCAAATTCTCATGGACTTCAGACTTTCTGGAGCCACAGAGGGTGGATGAACCCCTGAAACTACTGCCCTGAGATAATCTTCAGACCTTAAACCAAAAATACTCCCTGAAGTCTTAAAACCAAACAATTGTTTACAACTGACCCAAGCCATGGTATTTTCATTTGCATCATATGCATGCGAAAGCTGGATAATGAATAAGGAAGACTGAAGAAGAACTGACACCTCTGAATTGTGGTGCTGGTGAAGAATACCGAATATACCATGGACTGCCAAAAGAATGAACAAATCTGTCTCGGAAGAAGTACAACCAGAATGCTTCTCAGAAGCAAGGATGGTGAGACTACATCTTACATACTTTGGACATGTTATCAGGAGGGATCAATCCCTGAAGAAGGACAGGGTCAGTGAAAAAGAGGGAGACCCTCAACAAGATGGACTGACACAGTGGCAGTAACAATGGGCTCAAGCATAACAACAATTGTGAGGATGGCACAGAACCGGGCAGTGTTCCGTTCTGTAGTACGTAGGGTCACTATGAGTCGGAACTGACTCGATGGCACCAAACAACAACAATAACACTAAAAAAAAGTCTGCCTTCAGCATTATGCTCTTTTAAGAATTATCTATATGGAATCAAACTGACAACAGCAACTAGAAAGACTAGATAGGAATCTCAGGGGGCAGTGAAGTTTATGTTAATGGAGGAGGAACAACTTGGAAAAGGAGGGTAAGAGCGGTTGCACAACTCAAAGAATGTAACTGATGTTGGTCTGGGCTGGAGGTGGCAGCGGAGGCCAACAGGGTGGCCAGTGGGGAGGGTCCATCCTGCGTCCTAGGCTGCCCCAGCCATCCACGACAGTAGGGAGGATTCAGAACGAAGTGGCGGAAATCACTTCAGACCCTCCACCTAACTGCAGTACTGGTGGTCCCAAAGGTGATAGTATCTATGAATGGACATCAACCATTCTAGGGCATCCAGGATCCGTGTATGAGAGGGGGTATTCTTCCTTGATATCACTTTTATACCAGAATATCCCTTCAAGCCCCCAAAGATCACATTTTGGAAAAGAATCTACCACTGCAATATTAACAGTCAAGGAGTTATTTGCTTAGACATATTGAAAGATAATTGGAGTCCAGCATTAACCATTTCCAAAGTCCTCCTTTCAATCTGCTCACTTCTTACAGACTGTAATTCTGCCGACCCTTTGGTGGGAAGTATTGCCACTCAGTATATGACCAACAGAGCAGAACATGACAGAATGGCCAGACAGCGGACCAAGAGATATGTGACGTAAACTGGGTTTTCACAATTCTCATGTTATTTATCTGCAGAGAAGGGAGCCGCTTATGATTTTGAAGGGGTGGGGGAGGGCAGAAGTTGGTAAAGAGTAGGGTATTTCTATAACAGGTATTATTCAGTATTATTTCATAAGAGTTTGTTGTAACTTTTAAGGTATTTTGCTACCGTAGACAGAATTGGTAATAGCAACTTTTAAAACTGTCATTAGTTCTGCAATATTAGCTGAAATGTAGTGCAGAAAAGAATGTACATTTAGACATTTGGGTTCAGTTGCTAGTAGTATGTAAATTTAAATCAGCTTAATTTTGCACAGTTTATACACTTGGCCATTTATGTAAAGTCCTTCCAAGACAATACAATTTTTTGTTTATTAAAAAAAAATAAGAAAATTGGGATTTGCTCTTCCTCCTTGGGAGGGAACATTGACATTTAACAGAGTTTTTAGAGATAGTCATCTCGTATATATAAAATCGACACGTGGCTATAAGACATCATACAGGAAATAAGTAGTTAATGTATTTTATTTGCCAATCTACTTTACTGTGAAATGATCAAAGGTTTGAATCAGAACTAGTGAAAACCTGTAGTGAAATACCTCAAGCTGTTAACTGCAAGGTGTGGAACAGGAGTCACTCGGTGGATTGGTTATATGTTGTGGACTACTTAAGTCTGCATTTGTCACTGTGCTAATAAACAATATAAAAAAAAAAAGAATGTACTCTGTCACTGAATTGTACATGTAGGACCTGTTGAACTGGTGTATGTTTTGCTATGTATATTCTCAACAACAATAAAATAAATAAAATTAAAAAACAACAACAACAAAAAAACGGTGGCTGTATGAGTCTCCTAGTCCAGTTTCCTGACCACTCACTCTACTGTTAGGTCACGAAGAAGTCAAAGGCCGGATATTTTCCCGCTAAGGTTCAAAGTATGCTTTTAAAAACAGAAACAAAACTCAAAAAATAATTAACAGTTGGGAAAAAAATCTACCATAAGATTTAAAAACATCTCAGAAATGCCTGTCTTCCCAACATCATGAAGCTCAAGGTAAACTGAAAGTGGTCTAACTAGGAGAGAAAATAAACAAAAGGATTCTCCCTGTTTCCTAGGGTTGGGATCATCCTCATCGCCTGTCTTCACTCTGACTGCTCACTTCCCTTTGTGGCCCTGGAATCATTCCTGCCATTTTCTCCCCTCAGTGCCCGTGTGTCTCTGCGTCAAGTAAGTGCTTATTAGATGGCGGCAATCTGGGAAAAGTTTCAGCTAGTGGAAACTATTTCTCCCAACAGTCAGCCTGGGGTGATGATGTGAAAGAGAGTTTCCTCACCCCAGGTCTTTAGCAGATAAAGGAAGGGGCACTTGGGACAGAGCTCTACATCTAGGCAGATTAGTACACAGGTGCTTTAACTGTCAGGAAGACTCTAAAGGAAAATTTCAGAACTTGGATTTGATATCAAAGAAATCCGTACTTAAAACTGCTTGAGGCAGATACAGTTTCTTTAGGTCTCACTTGTGAGGCTTGAGCTTCAAAAGGAAGAATCAGGAATTCAATTTTGAACCTCTAAGCTTAAAAGCTCTCTCCAATAATCAACTCAGAATGAAATCACTGCTCATTCCAGAAATTTCAAGCAGCAGAACAGTTCAGTCAAGACCCTCACCCTGTTCCCACCTGGGCTCCAGTACGCTCACTCCCAATTAACACTATGCTTTTCTGTAGGAAGCAATACCTGGGAGTGAATCTAGGGCAGGTTTTCCTGAGATTTTTAAAGAGGAGGGAAAGCTTTTAACTGAATTTGGGAGGAAATGCCAACAAAGTAAAAGACTGGCGAGTGGCCCATTGTTCAACTCCAGTAACTGACACTCAGCAACTTTGAATGTGACATACCCAAAATGTGAAATCTAACTGGATGTAAGAAACTGCTCCATCTATATCTGCAATTCACTGTTTTAGCACTTACATTATTAATAGTATTTTTGTTTTATTTGTATCATTCACTCCATAAGAGAGTGATGTGTAACCTGGTTTCCACTGTCAAAGGCAAGGAAAATTTCTTGGCTAGGATCACTTATGACCTTCTAAGAACAAATTCAGTTGGCAAAGAAAATTTCTTGGCTAGGATCACTTAACTTCTGAGAACAAATTCAGTTTTGTTACTTTGTTTACAATCTTCCAGATTCTTATATCGCCTGTGACACTGAGAACCATTAGCTCATCAATTTTAATCTGGCTGCCAGAAAAAACTGAGCTAAACTTCATGCTCATTTATAATAACCCTATTAGGTTGGGCGGCTGTATATTTCTTTTATCTTCTTGCAATAAGGATGCTGAACCTGATTATATCCATGACTTTTGAAAGTAGCTTCAAATACTTCTTGAAATGAGATAAACTCTACAAAAAGACAATAACTGTATTTCCCTATTTGATACTTTTTGTTGACTGTTTTCATGTCACTTTGCGTTTGAGATTCTTCTCAGAAACCCTCTATGCGTTCCACTTCTCTTCCTCCCTCAGACCATTAACTTTGAACAGTTTATTTACTAGTCTTCATTTTGGAAAAGGTGCATAACATTAAATCCCAGACCTTGTAACTGGCATATTTTAATCAACACCTTTGAACATAACTGAAGTAAAATGCATCTAAAAGGGAGTTTAAAACCAGGGATGTCCGCTGCTGAACACTCAAAGGTGCTATACTTAAGGGGACACCAATTCAGATCATAGACACTGCTGGAATAAATATATACTTCTAGAATTTTACAGATGATGGGCCATAAAGTACCCCGTGCTAAAAAAAAATCAGGATATTACAGCAATTTCCTGACATAGGAGTCACATGTCTTGAGAAATGGGTGTTTTTGCTAACTTACACTAAGGTTATAAGCTAGCAGAAGTGCTGTTCAACATGTAGACCTGATTTTTCAGGACCACTACCAACACCATCCTTCTGACCCCCAAACCTGCCTGAAACACTGGAATCATCATCACTTTTTGCTCACCCTAGCTCAATACCAAGTTCTAGGGGTTCCTCCAGAGTCCTAGATCTGATCTCTCCTTTAAATTTCTAACATCACAGTGTTAGTCCTGACCCTGTTACCTTGTGGTTGACTACTTTCTCAAATGTCCTTATCACTATTCTTCCTCTGGAGCTATTATTTATTATATAAACTCATGTTTCCATACACACACACACACACACACACACACACACACACACACACAGAATTCCTATTTAGAGTGATAACAGCTTACACTTCTACCACGTGCCAGGTACTGTGCTAAACACTATCTATGTACTCTCATTTAATCCTCAAAGTCTCAGAACCAGGTACAATTACTATCCCAACTTTGCAGATGCAAAAGATGAGGCTTAGAAAGATGAAATGAATACCTAAGGCCATAAAGTGAGTAAGCAGTAGGACTGAGACTTGAGTCAGCTGATAAGCACTTTGCTGCTTTCATCACATCCCTCCTTTTCCCATAAGACAGTGCTTACCAAGGGCCTCTCTAATCAGTCAGTCCTGTTCACAGGCTTCAAGGCCCCCCAGCGTTTTTAGCTCCCTGCCCTAGAGCTTTAGTAGTGCTTGCTGTTAAGCTAAGTAAGCCCAGAGGCTTGCTATGTTTCATCTTCAAGTCTTCAAGGAATCAAAACTTTTTATTCATTTTTTTCCAGTGAGATGTCTCAGACTAGTAACATCTGACTAAAAACATAATGAAATCTACTCATCCTCACTGATGTCAACAGGCACTACTCACAGGAAATAATCAGAGTTACATATATTGATGACTCACTGCATCCAGGCCTGGTTCTAAATGCTTCACACACATTAACCAATTTCTATCCCTACTAACACTCAGAATCAGTGCCATACAGCACGAATGCTATAAAACAAACAGAAGCCATAATCTTTTTTCTTAAATTTACTACCTAACTGAGGAAGAAATCTTTTCTTAAGGAAAATATTAAAAAGAAGACAATGGTAACAGTAAATTTCTAGAGTGGACTACATACAGTAGCAACACGGTAGATAACTGTAAAACCGAACTTTCAAGGAAAAGCATGGTGGGGAAATAATCTTTCCTAAAGCTACTTGGGCAATCATGTAACATTTCTACATAAATACATAGTTGTATGCTAACTGCAATTATTTTACTACATTGCTCCCACATAAAAACTTCAGTTGTTTTCAACCTGCCTCTTTCCTTGGACAGCAAGTTCCTCGCAGGTAGACTGAGATGACTGAATTTCCACCTTTATGACCTGTAAGAGCAGAGTCTGGCGTTGTACAAGCAACTGACCCTCCGTAAATGCCAGATGGTAAATGTGAAAACAAAAGCACCACATGATTACTATTAGGACCATGACAAGGCAACTCATAGCTGTTTTTAAAATCAGACGTAACATGCAAAAGAATGGATGCTTTTTAAGAACTAGGACATGGCCACAATCAGAGACTGAGGAAATGTACTCATGCTCTAGAAGCACAACCCAATGCATAGGTGTCCACATGCAGTGACATCACTTGGATCGTCAATGTTGATTCTTCTGATCCATCCACCATTCCCAACTGCAAAAGACAGCCCTGAAAGGCAATCAGCACCCGCCAGTCTCTGGACACTAGCAACGCCACACAGCATCGGCCTCTACCTTCAGCTGCAGAAGCACAGCCACGATGACTGGTGAGGGGGCGTTCAGCCCCTGGCAAACTAGCAACAAATTAAGGCTACCCCTGAACATATCTAGGCTAACTGATTTTGAATTTATTTTACTGGCTATACTTCTAAACTGTACTACTTTATTTACTTATTTATTCATAAAATAAACTGGCACCCAAATAACCTTTTATTTCACATGCCTAAGGCTTTACTTTTCACCTAATCAGTACTGACCATGCCACAGAAGAGTTACACTTTTAAAAGTACGTTTATGCATAAAAAAAGGACTGCACACCTGGATAGCCTCCTGAGACCCAACGTCTCACTGTCATGAGTGTTCCTGGGAAAGCAGAGACAAACATTACATGTGAAAAGAAACAAAACAGAGCAATGCTGGAGGGTCATGTATAACCAAACATGGTTGGGAAAAAAGAGGATTACTCAGTCCAGAGGATAAAAGATATTAAGAATACTTGGAACATTTCAACATGGAAGACAGTGGGTGGATTTTTGGGTAACAGGGTGGGAGATGAGGGAGAAGAATACACTCCCAGAATGAAGCAAAACACACCCACATCCAATTATTCTCAAACTCTTTGGTACTAAAAAACAAAGCGAAGATAGAATCATATACAATACTTAGGAGTCAGATTCAGTGGTACTCACAAAACTTGGCCCTGACTTCTCTGGCCAAGCTTAGCTTAACCTACCAGGCTGCTGTGTTTGCCTGAATTGTAGAGAGTCCATTTCTTAATACCAAATCTTCTCAATATAACTATCTTATAAAAGGCTCATCGTATTGTTTCTTTTGTCATAGTCCAAAGTGTAGGCCTTGCTTCTCTCAACCTTTTAATAAACACAGGTTTGTTCTTTTATTGCTTTAGCAGATGATTTATATTTGTTCTTCTCGTTTGTTTTTTTCACTTTATTACAAAAATTACTTCCTAGGAAACCTATTCATAAAGAGACTTTTCTTTTTACAGGAGATTTTAGGGCCATAACTTTTACTTAATCTACTTGAGATGCCCCACAAACTACAAGCCACAAAGATGAAACTTCTAGAGATCTGGCCTAAGCTAATGCTTCCCTGGAACTATTTTCTTATCACTCAACTAGTTTAGGATTTTTGTTTTCATTCAGTGCTGGCACTAACTGTACCATCACTTTTGCCTCCATTACCTTCTTTTGCCTGAGAAGTTTTTATCTTTGATTGGTGACTGATCTGGAAAACACAGGTGATGCTGTAGTAGAGTTATAAAATTACACTCAAAGACGTTCTCGATTTGATGTCTCTGATCTGGTTTCACATTTTTCCTCCGTTGTTCCTGGTATAACAAGGAATTAAGAACTTGGAAGGATGAAATTCACAGGCCAGTAATGGAGGAGACATCTCAGGGTACACCAATCGATTTAGTTACCATGGCATAGCATAGCAAAGTTACTTTCAACACTAAAAATTTTTTCTCAAATGCTATTTGTAAGAGGGAAAGACAGGGCAGCTTCTCTTTCTAAACCACTTTTTTAAATCCTCTGATCTTAGTGGGTCTATATAATGCATGTTCAGAACTGTGTCAACAGTTACTGATAGCTTCTTCATTCAACTTTAAATCTCTCAACCTTGCTATTAGTGATTAGCTGATTCTTTATTTAAGATATCCTCCCTGGATTGACCGCTGCTGCAAAGATGGGAAGACAGTTAAGCTGGAGGAAGAATACAGTGTTCCACAATGATTAGGCCAGAGAAAATCCGTGGGTGAGGTATAGACAAAAGAGAGACGGTCTTGCATGATTCCTTATAGGAGTCCAGGTTCAGAGTCTCACAGTAAGATCCCCTTCCATGAAACCCGTGAGAGCAAGGAAGGGTTAGGGAAGTTAAAAGAAAGGTTAGAAAGAAAAGAAATCCAAATACCTAGCTTAACATTTTATGTACTATAAGAAGCTATTTTTTGGCATTTTACAATCTGACATGCTTAAAATGGCAAACAGAGATTGTATTAACAAGGAAAACAAAGGAGTAAGAGCAACGACTTACTTCACTGCAGTGGGACTACTGAATGCCTCTTTACCTTTCCTAATTTGTATTCTATCTCTGCAATTCGCCATGGAGAAATTACCTAAATTAGATTTCAATGGCACTCTTAAAATGCCACATTGAAGACAAGAACTCAGGCAAAATAATGTCTTGCCAAGCTATACCCGTAGCTGCCATTTTAATCTATGTGATCTAAAAGCAATATGGCACTTGCATTAAAAAAAGCTAATCATCTAAATTTACAAATGAATTCTAAAAGAGGACATGCTATCAAGTATTTAAAGCTTACAAAAGAGTTCATACTTGATAGCTTAAAAAAAACACTTATCTTCACTAATCTAAAACAAAATAAATAGGAAGTGAGAAGATGTCTCCAGCTATGAGAAGAGCGTATACCTTTTCCTTTTGGCACTACCGGTATCAGAGGTGGCTGAAGAAATCATGCTGTCTCCATCCTCAATGTCATCTCTCCTGGCAAGCTCCTTCTTCTTTGCCTAATAAAGAGCAGATTCTGGGAGTCAAGCTCACTTGGCTGAACACTCTTAGAATATCTGAATTTTAAACAGCTACACATACAGATTCACTCAGAAAGATACAATCAAAAGTAGGATGCACAAAATTAAAGAATCATTAAATATTTTCAATAACCTGATTTAACAAAAGCCTGTGTGGCAGAAAAGTAGGCTAAAAACTGAATCTAGAGTAGCTAAACAGCATTTAAGACTACAAAGGGCACAGACATGTTAAAAGCACTGAGGCAAGTTGTAGGGGCATCCAGCTCTGGTGGCCACCTTCAAGTAAAGCCAACTCAAAGACCGTCTCTGGTACCCTTGACTTCTAAGGGGCAATGTGGCTAAGAAGAAAGAAAGTTTAAAGTGAAGGATGAAAGAAGATCTACTTTTTTTTTCCTCCTAAATTTTATTTATTTTGTCGTTGGGAATATATACAGCAAAACATACACCAATTCAACAGTTTCTATGTGTACTAGTGACACTGATCACATTCTTTGAGTTGTGCAACCATTCTCACTCTCTTTTTCTGAGCTGTTCCTCCCTCATTAACATAAACTCACTGTCCCCTGAGGTACCCATCTAATCTTTCAAGTTGCGTTGTCAATCTGATCCCATACAGATAGTTCTTAAAAGACTGTAATGCTCAAGGCAGGCCTTTTTCACTAGTTAAGCTAAACTATTATTTGGTTTTAAGATGACTTTAGGAGATATTTTTGGTTTAAGGTTTAAAGATGATCTCAGGGGAACAGTTTCAGGGGTTCATCCAGTCTCCATGGCTCCAGAAAATCTGGAGTCCCTGAGAATTTGAAATTCTGTTCTGCATTTTCCCCCTTTTGATCAGAATTCTTCTACAGAATCTTTGATCAAAATGTTCAGCTGGTAATGGTAGCCGGGCACCATCCAGTTCTTCTGGTCTCATAGCAAAGGAGGCAGTTATTCAGGGAGGCAATTAGCCACACATTCCATATCCTCCTCATATTCCTGACTCTTCTTCTTCTGTTGCTCCGGGTGAACACAGACCAACTATTGTGACTTGGATGGCCACTTATAAGTTTTTAAGACCCCAGGCACTATGCAAAGAACTAGGATGTAGAACTGAGGCACTAAACACGTTGTTAGGCCAATTAACTGGGTTGTTCCATGAAACCATGACCCTAAACCTCCAAACTCAAGGAACCAAATCCCATGAGGTGTTTGGTTGTACAAAAGCAGCAGCAGCAGCTACTCTTTTTTGTCGTCGTTGTAAATATATCTATTGCACAACGTCTGCCAATTCAACTTTTTACCGATGTACAACTTATTGACAGCAACTACAATAATCAGCTGTACAACCCTACCCTTAATCAACACGATCTTTCCATCACCTTTAACCCCTTTTCCTCCTTCCTTCCACCCCTGTTAATCAGAAGCTCTACTTTTTAACACATGCATTTTTAAAGACCTCCTGCCAAACACAGGTGAAAGTCCAACCACAGCAGCCTTAGGGAATACACACGCAGAGCGCTGAAAAGGAAATACTTGAAATCCACAGCACTGTTGAAAAATCAGTGTTGACCATACAAAATGAAGATTCTACGAGTGATCTAAAATTACCTTTGTTGCTTGCTTCCTTGCTCTGAGATTCTCTTCCCAGAAGATGTTACCAAAAAACTCCAGGTGAAGCCAATTTGTATTTCATACCTTTGCCTTCTTGTCTCAAAACCCCTAGATGACCTGTGACCTCAGATGCCCTACAAGGTGTGCTCTCAGAAAGCATATGATAAACTCATGGATACTACACAGTGATTACTTACCCTTAAAATGTCCTTTAGCCTAGGATCAGCTTTACCTTAACAGAGACAAGGTCTTCAACCAAAAGAGTAAAACCTAATGATGGAATATCATATGTGACTGGAGAGAAATTTTCCTAAGTACCCTCACATTATCCACTAGGGACAAATCCCTGCTTCCTCCACTCACAAAGCCAACTCTGTCTAAACTATAGTGAAATCTGTGCGAGCTGGAACTCACCAGAACTGCCTAGTTTTTCTGGGTCTCGCAAGTTTTCCACCTTTGACAGGGTACATTCTTACCAGTTTTTTTATCATTCTATTAGTGGAAAGTATTTGAGTTTTCCGCCTTACACAGGTTCCAGCTTTCGCAGGTTTTACTGTATTACTTCTGCTCTACATGGCCCTGACAACTCTAAAAAAAAATTCAACAGTACTTGTGGTTGAAATGAATGATGTCATATTGCTGGGGGAAAATCACACATCTTTACACGTTCTACACTCACAACGTGTAAAATTATTTCAATTACACATACTTCAAACTTAGCAAAACCAAGAAATCATACCTGCATGACTTGCTGCAGCTTCAGAACTCGCTTGTAGATGGCTGAATTGGGAACATTATAGCGTTTGGCATTTTCAAACATTAAATTCAGATCACACTCCAAGTGATCTAAGGTTTCATATTCTTGGTTCTTTAGCTTGGTTCTGTGAAAGACAAACACATAGCTAGAATATATCCTCAGCCATTATGAGGTATCTTTCCTGAAAGTCTAGTGCAAAATCCTGACAAGCACTAGATGGTATCTTTACTAAAAAAAAACAACGTTGCTGTTGAGTCAATTCTGACTCATAGCAACCCTACAGGATGGAGTAGAACTGTCCCATAGAGTTTCCAAGGCTTAATCTTTACAGAAGCAGATTGCTACATCTTTCTCCCGCAGAGCGGCTGGTGCATTCGAACTGCCGACTTTTCGGTTAGCGGCCAAACACTTAACCACTGCACCACCAGAGCTCCTTGGTACCTTTACTAGTGATAATGATTAGAGGACTGGAAGTGATACTTTAAAGATGAAAGTGAAGAGGCAAAAGCAGCATTATATATAGGCAATAAGACAGTTTACCTGACAATCCAAAAGAATAAACTAAAACACTAAAAGAAGGAATAAGTAGTAAGAGGATATAGTAACGTGGCTAGTTACAAAACAAATACACTAGGACAAACCCTCATGCAGTCCCTCTGAACCCTAGGAAGAAACAAAAGTCAGAAAGATTTTAAGCTACCTCGATGAAGAATCATGATGACCTACCCATTTATGAAAATAAGAGCCGTTCTAGTTCATGACAGTTAAAGAAAAGGGAAAGTACTGGCACATCAGGAAGAAGCATTTAAGATAATATATTTACCTCTGGGGGAGATACATATGGACAATGAAGGGTGGTCTTAAGATGAGTAATGAGAGGCAGATACGTCAAAGGCCATTCACTACTCCTCCTCCAATATAAACATTTGTAACTAATTATGATTTACAACTGAGGTTTTTTTTAATTATTTTACTTAAAAGTCTTAAGAATTTAGATCTCTTTTGCTATCACTTACACCAACTCTCATAAAGGCCCTTTGCACTTTTTACAAAGTGAAGAGTCACTGTTTGCCCTAACACTGCATGCCATTATATATTTCTAACCATCAAAGTCACAAGAAATAGTATTAAGAGTAACAATGTGCCTAAAAAGCCTCACAGGATGAATGTAGAGATTCTAAACTTCTCTTGGAATGGCACCATTCATTTAGCATGTCATTAAAGTTTTATTTAAAATTTATCAATTTATCAAAACCATATGCAGGTTCCATGTAGTACTTAAGGCAATATGAATGTTAGAGAACATCTCTGGAATGAACCAGAAATAACTACAAAGTACAAATCCAGCTCTCAGTACCAGCTTCAACAGCTAGCACCCAGAGTTTACTCACAGCCTCAGAGTCCATGGGTAAAGTGCTGGGTATTCCCAAACTTGTAAATATTCACTGATAGAGAACTCAAACTTGTAAATGACAACATTCACTACTAATAAATCTGCAGATATTTACCAGACTAATGTTAATGAAGGGTAGTGGGGTCTGCCTTGAGTACAGTGCTCCTCTAAAGAACTATCTATATGGGATCAATTGACAACAGCAATTCGAAACGTAAGACAGAAAGCTTAGAGGGTAGTGAGTTTATGTTAATGTGGGGGAAAGTACTCCAAAAAGCAGGGTGAGAATGGGTGCACAACTTGAGGAATGTAATCAATGTCACTGAATTGTACGCTTAGAAGTTGTTGAACTGGTGTTTGTTCTGCTGTGTATATTTTCAACAACAACAAAAAACAGGCAATTAAAAAAAAAAGAGTAATGGGGTGAGGGAAGGGCGGAATGGAAAATGAAACAGGGATGACAAGCCCTATCACAGAAAGTGGCATGTGGAACCACACTATTTAGCTCTTGCCCAATCTTCCATTTTTGTTGCTTTTAGGGACACTCAACTGTCTTCTGTCAAAAATCCTCCTAGACCTGAACTAATTAATATACAATGGCTATTTAAATTAGAATTAAGCAAGATTTAAAATCTAGTTCCACAGTCGCCTTCGCCAAATTTCAAGAACTAAATAGTCACATGTGACTAGTGCCCATCATGTCAGACAGTGCAGGTACAGAACATTTCCATCACTGCAGAAAGTTCTACTGGACAGCAATGCCCCCAGACAGAGCACAGTGGAAGGTAGTCCAGGCACAGTGAGCTCCTGTCAAGCACCACTCATGGGCTGGAGCCAAGGCTCAGCATATGTCCCTAGAAGGAAGGTAAGATTAACAAAAACCAAACTCATTGCCATCGAGTCGATTCCAACTCATAGAGACCCTACAGGACAGAGTAGAACAGCCCCATAGGGGTTCCAAGATCCTGGCGGATCTGAACTGCTGACCTTTCAGTTAGCAGCCGAACTCTTAACCACTATAACACCAGGGTTTCCAAGGTAGATAAGGGTCAACTTTTAGGAAGTCTGATCTTACTCTTTTTTTTTTTTAAGGTAAGATTAGACCTCCTAAAAGTTGACTCTTCAGAACTCTGAAGTGCTACCAGCTAGGCCTCAACCACTTCCCTATTCCTCACTCTCCTCTATCGGTGCACCACATACCTGACATAATAAATTTAAAAAGGCAAACAAGGTGCAGAATTACTGTTAATAAAGTAAGGTTTATATTAGAAAACTCCAACTTGGAAGGTTTAGGCACTGAAATGAATTGGCTGAACAATCTGTATTCTTTGAGCTGAATTAATTAGACTACCTGAAGGAAAAAAAAAAAACAGGAGAAAACAACAAAAACACAAATTGTTTATTTAAAAGGGAACCTCTAAATCTATGTTACTTTAAGAGGCCCAAATAAACTGATATTCCATATGCTCCTTGTGTACAAGATGTCCAAAGTCTGAATTAAACAGAAGCACAATAAATGTTAGTGATCAAATGATAAAAGCAGAGGTTACAAATGCAAAACTATAAAACATATGTTGTTAGCCAACCTTATTTCCAAGAGTCCAGCAAGTACAAGGATTTTATTCCTACTGTACAGGTTAGTTATCTGCCATGTAAATACCAGCCTACTCTGACCACATTCAGTTAAGATATTTTTACCTGTATCTTGACTCTTATCTGGGTATAATGCAAAATATAACCCACACCGTGGCAGTTACAAAACAACCGTATTTTAATATTACTTATTTCCTACTATATTTAGTGATACTATTTTTTGGAGCCCTGGTGGCACAGTGGTTACCATCTACGGCTGCTAACCAAAAGGCTGGCAGTTCAAATTCACCAGCTACTCCTTGGAAACCCTTTGGGGTAGTTCTACTCTGTCCCACAGGGTCGCTACGAGTCAGAACGGACTCAACGACAATGGGTTTGGTTTTTTTTTTTAACAGTGATTTACGTATTCTTTCTGACTGAATACTCAATAATCACTATCATTTTCTAAGTTGAAAACGAAAGCCAAGATGAACTATCCTTCAGGTATGGTTTCAGCTGATGAATTCTCCAAGAGCTGACTATGCTTATTCTGGGGGTTCAGCTATAGATACACAGTTTAAATACATAATTAAATATCAATGAATAGTACAGACAGATAGATTTTTGTACTTTGCTCAGTTATTAGACGAATAAACAAGTTAAATTCTGAGCTGCATTACTTTTCAAATCCATAATCGACACACAAACACTTAGCTGAAACCGCCTTTTGTTTATATGCCTCTTGACTCTATTCCAGTACAAAGAATGTTATTTACATTTAACTAAATTTATTTCTCACTTTTCATATAGAAGTGATATTCACGTATACCCTAGCTATGTGAAAAACTTTTTACCTTTAATATCCTTATCCATCTTAGGAAGGGGTATGTATGTGCAGGCTTAACCACAAGAAAACGGATTTACACTGAGCAGCGTAGGAGACATCTTACCTGATCTGTTGTAGTGATATGGGCATTTTAATTTGTTGATAATAATCAGGGTATTTTTTCTTTGAAGGCAAATGGAAAAAAGGTTCAGCTATTAGCTGCCCCTGGTTATTCCGACAGCTCCTAACTGTGTCATAAAGCTGATAAAAAGGATTTGAAACATCCATAAAGGAAGTAATGCTCTCTGCTTCCGATTCTCCTTCCTCATAACGTGCAGCTAGAAAGACAAAAAAATATTTTTTACGAGCGAAAAGGCAGAAAGAAAGGAAGAATGAAAGATCCATACTTTAAAGCCCTTTTAACAACTTTCCAGATTAAACTATACATATTTGAGAATAATATTAAAGAACAGCCACCGATTTCAAAACATACTATAAAGCTACAGTAGTCAAAACAATCTGGTACTGGTATAATGACAGACATAAAGATCAATGGAAAAGAATGGAGAGTCCAAAAATAAACCTACATCTATAGTCAACCGATTTTTGATAAGGGTACTAAGTCCATCCAGTGGGGAAAGAACAGTCCCTTTCATAAATGGTACTGGGACACTGGATTTCCACAAGCAAAAGAATGAAGCTGGACACAACCTCACACTATACACAAAAATTAACTCAAAATGGATCAACAACCTCAATGTAACAACTAAAAAACCATAAAACTCTTAGAAGAAAACATAGGGGTAATGCTAGTTTCTGGCACTAGATTCTTAGATACGACACCAAAAGCATGGGAAACTAAAGATAATACAGATAAATTGGACTTCATCAAACTAAAAACTATTGTTTATCAAAGGACTTTATTAACAAAATGAAGAGACAACCTACACAAAAGCAGAAAATTTTCGGGAACCATATACTGGGCAAGGGGTTAATAAAGAACTTCTACAGCTCAACAACAAAAAGACAAACAACCCAATTAAAAAAAGGCAAACGACTTGAACAGACGTTTCTCCAAAGAAGATATGCAAATGGCTAACAAGTACATGAAATGATGCTCAACATCATTAGTCATTATGGACATGCAAATCAAAAGTACAATGTGATACCACTCTATCCTCACTAGGATGGCTATTAGAAAAACGGAAAATAACGAGTGTTAGCAAGGATGTGGAGAAAT